ACAAATTATGAGTGATTGAGTGAATAAAAGAATGAATGAAGGTCAGTAAGATGAGATGTTGACTGAGTGAAGAGTTTTGCATTTGAATGTAAAATTAATCAAGAAAGAAAATTAATAATACTATATTCACAATTACCTCTTAATAAGACTAGTAATTGTTCTTAAATAATTTACATAATTCATCTTTATAATGTGTGAGTGGAACATACATATGTACATTTTCTAAATGTTCTTCTTTCTACTATCTGCCATTAGTCTTTAATCATGACTGACATTTCTCTGTGAGATTTCCATATACTATATCTAAAAGAATGTAAAGAAGGAAGTTCAGTCTATAATAGAAGACATGTTCTGCGAAATCTGAATTTATTCAGATGGGGATAGTTTAATTCTTTAAAATAACACAGGATAAGAAAGAAGATTCAAGAGTTTAAAGCATATAATATTTAATATTTATAGAAAGGATTATAATTTTTCCCTCATTTTTATTCTTTACACATGGTATATCACCATATTCTATGATAATAATGAGATTGGGGCATGAACTTGTACATGTCAAAAGAAAAATCTTATTCTTACTTTGCCAGATTAAAGTAAATGATATAGCCAAACAAAAGTGTATTTAAAGATGCAAAAGATACTTTCATGTATCTGTGATTGTTTATGCAATTTCCCCCAGGAATTTTTCATTTAAATCCATGGCTAGAGTTTAAAGGTAGGCAAATAGATGAAGAGATAGATAGATATAAGAAAGAATTGATGTAAAGAAACTATTTTCATGTAAACAAAATAACGTATGTTAACCAATGGTAATGGTTGGGAAAGACAAATGTTCTTCTCAAGGTATTCTTTCCATTTTCTCTTTGCAGGCATCTTCTAAATTACCCAAGCTCTCCATAACTTCTTGCTGCCATGTTTCCAATTATGTCAGAATAGTTTTGGCACAAGGGAAAAAAACAAGAAATAAAAAAGGAAGAAAAAAAAAGCTAAGATCATTGAGTTCTTCCTATGTGCTGCTCACTGGCTTCTTTATTCATAAAATCTCACCTAATCCTCCCTATCCCTCTTGAGACAGGTATTAGACTTACACTGAGAACTGTAGATAAGGAGATGAGGACATGGGATCACTTAGGGGTTTTCGAGGGGCGCCTGGGTGGCTCGGTCAGTTAAGCGTCTGACTTCGGCTCAGGTCATGATCTCACGGCCTGTGAGTTCGAGCCCCGCGTTGGGCTCTGTGCTGACGGCTCAGAGCCTGGAGCCTGTTTCAGATTCTGTGTCTCCCTCTCTCTCTGCCCCTCCCCTGTTCATGCTCTGTCTCTCTCTGTCTCAAAAATAAATAAACGTTAAAAAAAATAAAAAAAATAGAATTAATTAATGTGATTGAAACAACAGATCATCAGTTAATAAGGAATGTTCCACCATAAGCTCACTTCCTACTGCCTCTCATCTCACTGAATAATGGGAAGTTCCTTGGGATTGATATTCAGTGGATGATATCTGGATGGTTTAATATCTGGTTTTGAATTTTGTACCTTGTATGTGAAGGTAAACCATTTAGACCAAGCAATAAACAATGTAAAGATTTATCTACATAATCCTAGATTTCATATACTTGGCCTGCTCATATTTTTTTCACTGTGTTTAAATAACTTCAGTACTTAGGTCTGTGCTACTTGTAGTTGAATGGAAGTGTTAATTCATGTCAGAAAAACTTCAGTCAAGAATATGACTACACTTATAAACAGACGACACGAAATCTGAATTTTTCACTCCAATGCAATGGTCGTCATGCAGATAAGCACAGTTTATACGTTCTTTGTGAATCTGTTTCTCAGCCTACACTTTAAGACAGACAGAACATTTTCACAATGTTATCTGAATATAAAATTATATAAAACTGTAAACATTCAGCCATGAAAATAATGCCATTGTCAAACACAATATAATTAATGACCGTAACAAATCTTAAGTAAGTTGCTTGGAGTGTGTGGCATTTTGGTATTTCTTGGTAAAAAACTATAATTTCCTTCTTCTTCAGCACTTTTGAATATAATTTGGGGAATGGTTAATCTTTGAGACAATGCATTCTGGACTAGGGTGGACTAGAAGTTAATCCTCTTAGGTTCCCCTACACCAAAAATGAATTATACAATGTATGAAGTTTGTTTTCTATTTCTATGTGAATAATACTTTTCAGAAAAAAATATTTCAAATTGCTCTTAGATATGTGTAGTCACTCTTTATAGTTCAAAACTGATGACTTTTTCTCTCTGTATTGTAGGTCAATATGTCCTACTTCCCCTTTTTTTTCTTTCCTATATATACCATTTCTATAATTGTATGATGTTTGTGATCTAACTTGAAAATGTGCTCTTTTGGCAAACATTTTTTGATTTAGCCTAGAATATGTATGTCTAAGTATTAGCTTATAGACCATTCTCTAGTCTTTTTATATTTGGACCTTTGTTTAAAAAATAATTTTTCCTCATTGTTTATCAAATAATACCCAGTGTTCAAAGCTCTCAATGATTTAACTCAAACATATCTATCTGACCATCTGGCCTACTATGCCCCTTGCTGTATCCTACACTCTAAACTGGACCATTTGCCTAACCTTTGACCTCTGCTCTGTGTTTGGTTTCCTGTAGTCCCCATCGCCTGAATGGTTTTTCCAGACGTTGCCATTGCCCCAATCACACCCATACCCAAAGGTCCATCTCAAATTTCACCTTCTCTCTAGCCAGAAGTAATATTTTCCTTCTCTGAATGAAATTCATCTATAGCCTCATAATATTGTAGTGCTAGTAATGGCTAACAGCGTACTTACTATGAGCCAGTCACTGTTCTAAGCAATTTACATGTAGTAACAGATTTAATCCTCACAGTAACTCTATGAAATAGGTACTATTATTATTACCACTATTTGGATGAGGAAACTGAGGCACAGAGGGGTAAGGTAGTAGATCCAGGGTTTGCAACTAGGGCCCTGGCTCCTGAGTTCATGTTCCTAGCTACTATGGTCCTTTGTATACTTCCCTATGGTATCTACGACATTCTATTTTATACACTTTATTGTGCACATTTTCTCACTTCTGCTGTAACTATAGAATAGCTTCCAGTTCTAAGATTCAATGATTCTGTTTTTATCGGCTTAATTTTGCTGGTTCAAGCAAACATAACTGTAAACCTGAATCATACCACTGCACTCCTCTCCTTGCAGTCGCTTTTCCTGCTCCATTGCTGGAGCTCAGTTTTATTTAGTTGGAAAAACCTACATTTGGTACATATGGTGCTTTTCTCCAAAAAGTAACACACTTCCTCAAGAGGGCTCTATCAATTTTCTATTGAAGAAAATAGAACTGACAACATAAACAGCCTCTGTTTACTGAATGCTTGCTTTGTGTCAGTATTTGGCTATTTTTCAGACAGTACCTAATTGAACCACAGCCATATGGTGAGGCGGTTTTAACTATCTCAGAAAGGTCAAGGAATTTTTTTTTTTTAATTTTTAAAATATATTTATTTATTTTTGAGAGAGACAGAATGTGAGGGGCAGAGAGAGAGGGAGACACAGATTCCAAAGCAGGCTCCAGGCTCTGAGCTGTGAGCACAGAGCCCAATGCAGGGCCTGAACCCATGAATCATGAGATCATGACCTGAGCCAAAGTTAGATGCCCAATCGACTGACCCACCCAGGCACCCCAAGGTCAAGGAAATTCTTAAGTTCATATGGGTAATGACAGAATCAGTTTACCACTTAGGTCTGTTTACTTAAACACTAGGCTTTAGGCCTCTCCTAGTATTATTATACAGATATACTTGAAGATTAAGTAGATACACTTACCATGCTTAATTCTGCCCTATGGTTCACCTAGCTGAAACCTCCACCCTCCTGCCACAGGGGTGAGTTTTCCTTTGCCATGCCTCACTCTTTTTGTTACACTGTTGTGGCTAATGCTCTAAGCTACATAGTGACTGATATGAAGGCTTCCCAATATGATAGGTCATTGGTTCTCAACTAGGGGAGATTTTTGTACCTCTCCCCACACAGGGGACATATAGCAATGTCCAGCGACATTTTTAGTTATCATAATTGCAGGGGGTGGGGGGGAGGCCAGGGATGCTGTTAAACATCCTATAATACATAGGACATCCCCCACAACAAAGAGTTGTCCAGCCCAAGATGTCACTAGTGTGGATGTTGAGAAACTCTGTGTGAAGCTGAAATTAGAAGGCCATATTAAACATATTAGAGGTGGTGCCATGGAATAGAGGGGACTGGGAAAAATAATACAATAAAGAAAGAGGGATCTTGGTTGGGTTAGGATAATAATATGACATAAACTGAAGAGTTTGATGAACTTAACTCTGTATATGAGATTAAACAATAACAGCAACAATGACAGAAGAAAAGAACCAGAGAAATTGAAATCTGAAGTAATTACTGATCCTCTGAGAACCTTAATACCTACTTTCAGAATAATTCAGGTTTTTCTGACTATGATCCTTCCCGCACCCAGCCTCTAAGAACGGAGATGAGAAAATGGGCAGAGGGAACAGCCATAACCTGGGATACAATACCCATGCATAATCTGGGAACATTCTTTCTGTGGTCAGCAACAGAACACACCCTCTCCCACTTTATAATCACCAGTTCTTTGTCCTTGGGTTGGATAAATTAGTCCTTCAGCATGGTTCTGGGTTTTTGAAATTGAGGTTCCTACTTGCTACTGGAAGTAAGGTCACACAATGGACTAAGTCAGAAAATGTAGCCTAAAAGGCCCATGGCCGGTATCTCAACCTGAACTTCAAGAAACAGGGTTGTGCTATGAGCTGTATTTCCTGACAAGGCAGTGTATAGGAAATGTAATTACAACTAGTACTGTATTAGAGTAGCTTAAAAAACAAATGACAGCTGGTATTGATATTCTCTGTGACGACAACCCTTGTGTAAACTACCCAGAAGAAAACGCATGAGTACGTATTTTTAAAAAACTTACAATATATGGTAGGCATAATGATGTCACTTTCCATCTCACTGACAGGATTCTTCACCAGGCAAGTGTAATTCCCGATGTCTTCTTTGGTCACTGGAGCAATATGAAGAGTGTTGTTTTGGAGAGAAAAGGAGGTGGTAGAGCTGGTACGGACAGGTCTTTTGTTTTTTAGCCACTGGTAAGCCACCCGGGTGCCCTCTTCCACAAGGCATGTCAGGGTCATGTTCCCCACATACTCCACAGCGCCAGAGGAAGGCTGAATCTGTACCACTGGCTTTGTGACAGGATCTGCAATATCAAAAGAGACAAAAGTGATTTTTGCCACCACAGAGTTATAATACAAATCTGTGCGATCTTTCAAATACCAAATCCTGGGGAAATGAATCTAAAATTTTACATTTTGTAGATGTGGATGGTTCAGAAGATAAAGAAGAATAAAAAACTAATGGAAAAATGCAAAGTGATAAAATACAAAAATATCATTTATACCAGAAATAGCCAAATTCTAGAATGTACTTTTCAAGGATTTTCTCACGAAAACCTTTACTTTATAGATAATGCAGTTAGTGTAGAGAACACCAGCTTCCTTATTTCCTGTGCATTGTACTGTCTCCAACACCATAAAGGTATATATACTCTCACAGGCAAATTTTAACAAGACATTTCCCTCTTTTTGGTTTGTTCTAATATCTCAAGAGCAGCTGGTTGGGATAGATGAGCCTAAATCTTTATCCACTATCTGAAAATATAAAGCTCAGATACATTATACTTGTGGAATATTGAGGGAAAGTTTTAGAGAATCACATATTCACCACTTACTTTTCTTTCTTTGTGAGTGAACTAATTACGTTTTAACTGCTGTGGAATTGCAACATTATGTTAGCCACTTTACCAAAACCAAAGCGTACATTTCAACACTGACTCAGTTTGAAAATAGGATAAAATGTGTTATTGCAATTACATCCCATTAGAGACATAAAAGACAAATTCAATAGTGATTCCTGTTGGAACTTCAAGTCATAGGAAAATAGTTTCATGTCATGAATCTGGTACATAGTACTATTTGTCAAATGAACACATTTCCAAGAATGAGCAAATATTTCCTCCCTTGGTTTTCACTCTAAAATTGTTGGGTAAAGGTCGGCATTATATAAGTATCCACAAATACTTTCAGTAAATTTCACTAATCTTTGAGGTTGTTGGTTCTGTTTGATAAAGGACAGTGACTTGCCCAGTTACACAGCAGTCAGTGACAAAATGAAGAGAGCTGCATATCTGGTTGTGTTTCTCTTCTGAATTTTGGAGAGATATGCATTTCATAATCTTCCATGCATCATCACAGGACACAGAGAGAATGAGATGGTATATAAGTGAGAAATGATTGACTCTAATGTTTAGATTTCAATTTGCTATCAAGCTTTAAATTGGGGTTGATGCATCTCTGCAGGTAAATTTCTCTTGACTCATGCTCACATTTTTCTATACGGAGAAATGTACAGTAGAAAACAGACAGACCCAATCCTTCAGCCTAGAGAATATAGGAGAAAATGAAAAATAAGGAGAAAGGTGGTTGAAACAGTTTGCAGGGGACCCGAGTAGCTCTGAAGCCTCTAGCCTTTCTTAAGATGAGGACAACTGAATTTGTCCATTCAATTTAAACTTTTTATTATTTTTGCTTTTATTTTAGAGAGCAAGTGAGCAAGGGAGAGGGGCAGAGGGAAAGAGGCAGAGAATCCTAAGCAGGTTCCATACCCAGTGCACAGCCCAATTTGGGGCTCAATCCTATGACCCTGGGATCATGACTTGCACTGAAATCAAGGGTCAGATGCTCAACCAAGTGAGCCACCCAGGTGCCCCCAGTTTAATCTTTTATAGTTCCTGGTAAGAACAAAGGATGTGGATGGAATAGCTTTTCTTTACATTATTATGAGTATGAGAAAAATGAGTTGTGTATATCTATTACTTAGGAAAAGCTTATGTTTTACTTAGGAAAAGCTTATCTCTCTGTGTGGAAATAGATGTGGTATGGCATAAGTCAAATAAGTAATGTCAAGGTCTTATATGGGGAGAACCAATCAGAATAGACTGTGATCATAAAACCTGCCTTAAAGAGTGTGACTCAGATGTGGAAGTTTCCTGGGAAGATTTTTTTTACATAGATAGACCCTAAACCCCTGATATGATTTTTTTAGTTGCATTTCCCTAAACAGATCCAATTTACTATATATTAAAAAGTAATGGATATTCCATTAAGTTTTAGGGAGAGATAGGATACTACTCTGGAGAATTTCATGAACATTGTCTCCCTTTTCTCTTTTCATAGTTGCTCTGTAGGCATAGTTGCTCTACAAAATGTTTGTCCTGTGATAGGAAGAGCTCTGAGGCCAGTGTGGTCAGAACAGAGTGAGTGAGGGGGAAGGGAGGTAGGAAATGGAATCAGAGATGTTGGGTATGCTGCGGGGGCGGGGGGTGGGTAGTCATTTGGGCCCTGTAGGATGTTGTTAGTACTTTGGCTCTTATTCTAATTGAGACAGAAAACCATGGGAGGATTTTAAGTGTCAGGAGGCTGGAGTGTAGGCAGAGAGACCAGGTAGCAGGCTATTAGGGATAGTCCAGGTCAGAGCTGGTGGTGCGGTTGAAAGGGGTGGGAGAGGGGGTGATAAGAAGTAACTGAACTTTACATTTTGAAGGTAAAGCCTACAGAGTTATTAACTTCTTGCCTAGATGTGGGATACGAGAGAAAGAGGGGGTCAATGGTGATGCAAAGTTTTGTCCTGAGCAACTGATAGAATGGAGTTAGTACTTACTAAAATGGAGGGCATTTTAAATACTAACCTGTTAAATAATCAGGTTTAAGGGGAGACATCAGAAGCTGTGATTTGGACACTGTATATTTGGGGTACACTACTTATATACCTCATTAAGGAAAATAAATGTGTGAAATTTAGCTGATTCTACATTCCCTCAGAGGATTATTTCCAGCAGTTTCTATTGTTCCTTAAGTATGGTCCTTGAGCAAGTCTCATCCTCCCGCAAACTGTGTGCCAAAATAGAATGTTCATGTGACAAAGAGGGCTCTTCCTAGAGCGTGTTCTGACACTGAGAAAATAAAATTTCCTCCATATTATTATATCAGTGACTTTATCCTTGATAGTTTCCAGGCAAACAAATAATAAGTTCTACTCATTGCTTGATTACCTTTAGTTGGGCACTGTGTATATATTTCACATGCGTATACTTTACATGTGCCTCATGAGATAGATAATGTAATTTGTACCTGAAACACTGAGGCCTTGGGGGTTAATTAATTGCCCAAAGTTGCAGAGCCAGGACCTAAAGCCCACATGGTCTAATCTCCTGAGCTGTTACTAACTGCCATGCTACCCAGCTGCCCACATCACTGATAGTGGACTCACCATCAACGGTGACTTGTATCTTCTGACTGGCTGAGAGAGTTCCATTTCCCTGAATGTTGACCTTCACGATGTAATTGCCTTCATCAGTGAATTGCAGTGGGTTGATAAGTAGAGATGCATTGGGTGGCATCATGGTGAACTTGTGTTGGTATTCCAAGTCGGGAACCACAGACTCATTCACAGAGCCCAGTAAATATTTGGGCATTGTGTGGGGTCTCTCAAACAGCCATATGATCTGGATGTCTGATGCCGGAGTGTGGAATCCATAGTGCACGGGGAGGTAGAGGGCCTGACCCCTGATGCCATGAACGGTGCGTGATGGCACTGTCACTTTCAGCCCCAAGCAAGCGCCTGCTGTGAAGGAAAGGAAAGTTGTAATGATCCTGAGCCACATTTCACAATCTAAGGGGCAATACAGAGAAAACCTGATTAGGTGATAATGCTTACAAAGGAGAGAGGCTTCTAGGTACTGACCATTCTAATACCTGTTACCTGGAGAGGCAAATATTTGTCTCTCAAACCTTCTGCAATTTTAAAAACCCCACCCAAAGACTATGTTGATTGAGTGATTGAGTGTTGATTGAGTTGATTGAAGGAAAAGCATAAGTTATTATCTTTGAGAAAAGGAGAACTGGGAAAGATTATTAGTTATAAAGTCCAATGACACCTCTAGAATTATGAAACTGTGTTTGATTCATATTATATCATAATGAAACTATGTGATTCAAGAAACATTGAGGGGCTACTTCCTCCTCAGAATCTCCCTCCAAAGTCTTCTGAAATGGGTTCTAGTCTATTATTGGAAGTTTTAGCCTTTAGCCAAAGCCTTGTCACATGGAAATATCCCAAGAAGAGTGGCATGAAGCCATTACCAGTTATGATCAATAATTCTTGCCCAGAAACAGGAACCTGGTGTGTGTTTGAGGAACAGCAAGAGGCAGGAGCAGAGGGAACAGAGTGGAGGAGGAGTGTGGTAGGACATGAGGTCAGCAAGGTGGTTGGGGCCAGATCAGGCGGTGTCTCATGGTCACAGCAAGCACTTTGGCACTTTTTCCGAGTGAGATGGAGATTAAACTGGAGTTTTGTGAGCAGACAGGGATATGATATTTCTCCTTCTTCTTGACTTCCTCCTTCTCCTCTTCCTGTTCCTCCCTCTTCCTCCTTCTCCTTCTCCTCCTTCTCCTTCTTCTAGATATACTCTAGCAGCTGTGAGAAAAGACTGAGATAGGGGCAAGAGCAGGAGCAGGGAGACCACTTAGGAGGTGACTGCAATAAAGTAGGCAAGAGATATTTGTACTGTAGACTAGTATGGTAGTAAAAGGTATTGTGAGAAAGGCTGGTGATGCTAACAGGATTTGATGGCACATTGGGGTGAAATACAAGAAACAAAGAAGAGTCAAGAATGAGTCCAAGGTTGTTGATATGATCAACTGGAAGAATGGATGTCATTTGTTAATGGGCAACTAATAAATTAACCATGGGGAAGACTGAGGAGAATAGACTTTTGGTGGGGGGGCGCAAATTGGGAGTCAGTTTTGGATATGTTCATTTTAGAAGCCCATTTGACATACAAGAGGCAATACTGAAAGGATATACTGGCAATGAAAGCTTGATTAATGTGGGTTTAAGAGAGAATGAGGGCCTGGAGGACTTGGGGGGATGGAGTTCTGCTAATGCGAGGCCCTGGCTCCCAGCATCCTGCCTGCCTGAGTTGTTTGGGCCCATGCACTCACTGCTACATCTGCAGGTTTCTTCCTATTTTCTGGCACCTGGAAATTTCCACACCTTTACCTTGAGCCATGATATACATTTTTAATTTTTTTTTTTAACGTTTATTCATTTTTGAGACAGAGAGAGACAGAGCATGAATGGGGGAAGGTCAGAGAGAGAGGGAGACACAGAATCTGAAACAGGCTCCAGGCTCCGAGCTGTCAGCACAGAGCCTGACGCAGGGCCCGAACTCAACGGACTGCGAGATCATGACCTGAGCCGAAGTCGGACGCCCAACCGACTGAGCCACCCAGGCACCCCATGATATACATTTTTAAATGTTATGTAGCACTTCTGTGTGTTTGCAATTGAGAAGAGACTCCTTAGTTCAGACTACCATGTTGCCAGAATCCTAATTAAAAGCTCTTTGCTTCAACATCCTCATTTTATTTTTTAAATATATTTTTTTATTTGAGAGAGAGAGAGAGAGAGAGAGAGAGAGAACAGGGGAGAGGGGCAGAGGGAGAGAGAGAGAATCTCAAGTAGGCTTCATGCTCAGCAGAGAGCCCAAGGAAGGGCTTGATCCCAGTACCCTGGGATTAAGACCTGAGCCAAAATCAAAAGTCAGACACTTAACTGACTGAGCCACCCAGGCACCCCACAACATCCTCATTTTTTCTTAAATGTTTATTTTTGAGGGAGAGAGAGAGAAAAAGAGAGAGAGAGAGCGAGCAGGGGAGGGGCAGAGAGAGAGGATGGTACAGAATACAAAGCAGGCTCCAGGCTCTGAGCTGTCAGCACAGAGCCCAAGGCAGGACCTGATCTTGTGAACCATGAGATCATGACCCAAGCTGAAGTCGGACGCTTGACCCACTGAGCCATCCAGGCACACCCTTTCTTTCTTTTCAACATCCTCTTTTTAAAAGGGAGTAGTATACTACCAACATCATATGAACATTTGAAATAGTGGGGGAGAGAATGGGTGGAATTGAAATGTGAAATATTTTGAACAGTGAGGGGAAAAAAGAATGGAAACTGCAGACAGTGAGTATAGACAATATTTCTGGGGAGTTTTGCTGTGAAGGGGAGCAGAAAAGTGTTCTGTTCCTTCTTCTGTTTCTTTGAATGGGTGCTGAACACTATGTCTGTAGCTACTGGAATGATCCACTACAAAGAGAAAACTCGATGAAGCCAAATATAGATGAGTAAAGGTGGAATAAAATCCTAGGTGAGGAAAGATAAAAATTTGGGCACAAACAGATCTTACAATTTCAATTTTCTCGTATAAAAATAGTTCTTTTCTTTTCTTGCTTTCCTTTTTCACCCCCTACTTGAGAGACGACCTTTAAGCTTTCTCTAAGTTGTGTTATAAAAAGGCCACCAGTATTAGGAAGGGAAAGGTAGAAAGGTCTGTTTGTGCAATGATTTCTTTGGAGAAATGGAAAGAGGTAGGCCTGTTACTATAAGGAATCAAATTTTACCAACAGTAAACCTCTCCCTTTGCTTCCCAGGATAGAGGTGAGTGCAAAGGTTTCCATCATTTTGGTCTTTGGCTAGCTGTTGGTAGAGAGTGAGACCGGGGTCCAGCAGGAAAGTTAGAGAACTCAGCAGAAAACATAAAGAGGAAGATTACAGAATGTTAGGGGGAGAAGGAACTCCTAGGTGCTCACCAGAAACTGACTGTATGGACTGAGACTTAGGTGACTATCTGGGCAAAAGAATTGTGTGTCCTATAGTCTCCTTAGTTTCTGTATTTGTGATGGACTTTGTAATTTTTTTTTTTTTTCCTCCCGAGAAAGGGCTGTGCCTGCACATTCATTTTAGTGATTTGGTTTGTAACAAAGGAGTTACAAAGGTATAGGATTTGCTTCTGTTTTCTTTTCTGGCAAGTGCAAGAATGTTTAATTTGTAGTTGTTCCTCATCTGAATCATTAGAAAAAGAAGGAACTGGTGCTAGGAATTCTAAAGAGGAAATAAAGTGGATTGCAGAAAAGGAGTGGTGGTTTCTGCAAGGAAATCATAAGAGAGAGAAAAAAAGAAGAGAAAGTGAGTCTAAGACTTAAACCTCATAATGATTGTGGTATGTGAAGCAGGGGTCAACAGAAGAGAGTGAGGTTCTTCAAGTCACAGATTCAGAAAGACATTGGGCATTTGGATGAGGGACCAGTAAAGGAAAAGATTCTTCTTAGCATCTGTGTTATCTGCACAAACAACATGCATCTACATGCTTTTCATTGAAAGTGGGGATAAGAAGCTCTGGACACATTCCCGGTAAGCAAGAAATAAAAATTTTTTGTATTTGACACTTTGTATTTGACTACCTTACACTTGAAGGTGAAGGGCCCATATTTAATTGAAAGGGCCCAAAGAAATTTGAAGTATTGAGTCTCAGGTTTTAGTCTGCTTATTAAGTCACAAACCCTGGATATCTTTTAATAAGGCAGAAACTCTGTGTTTTTTTGCCAAGGAACCATGGGGGATGGTGGGAATCCACATCATTGTCTTGAGAATGCCCTGGAAAAAGCTGTGTGGCTGCTGACTTACAACTCAGGAATTGCCTTTGACAGTGAGCTCTAGGTTTAGATGGCGTTCTTGTTTGGGGAAGTCAGCAGTCCTTGTGTAGGTTTTTTTTTTTTTTTCCTTTTGTATTTTGGAAAAGGGAAGAACAGTTTTTCATCTACCTTTTTTTTTTTTTTTTTTGGTAGTTGTAGTTGTAGTTGTAGTTTAAAGAGTAACTGAGATTGTAATCGTCTGAAAACGCTTGGGAGGCACTTTACAAATATGGAGTGCTAGCATGACTGGAATAGAAATGTTGGTGACTTTTGTATCTTGAATCAGAATGTTGAATAGTAAGTACAAAAAAGACTGATTGGAGAGTCTATAACTGGAGTTGTGGAAAGCAAATATTATTTAATAAAAGATTAAATACAATACAAATGTTGCAGCCCAGGAATAATAAAACTACTTTAGAAGAAAATAACATTTTATACAGCATTTATAATAATTGTTTAAGGAGGGTTAACTAGTTTTTTGAGCTATTTGGAAAACTGTGTCATGTAATAATGCCTTAAATAATATATTGCTACCAATACCACTGAATGTATTCAATGTTTATAATATCAAATGATATGAAATCATATCATTTAAATTTTTTTCAAATATGTGTGATGTTTCAAATATACATATGACAGTGAGAGATAGCACAGCTATTATAATAGCTTTTTCCTTAGACCGTCTACACCATTTTTATCAGATAAATTATAGGTAGCACATTATAAGACTATCAGCAAAGAATGTATTTCACTTCATACAGTAACTTATCTCAGCTACTAAAATCTTTTCATTTTGCAGGAAAGAACCTATTGATATGATGTAATCCTTACATGTAGTAAACTTTAGTGAATAAACAGATAATTGGATAATTCCTCTACACTTTCAGAACACACACTTTTTGCCATTGCTGTGTGTCATACACAGATGTGGTGAATCTGTGCTGTCAAAACAGTAGTTTATTAACTTAAAAAAATTAGCTTCATTTTGAAAATTTCTCAAGCTCTCTTTTCTAGTTTTATGAGAAAACCTAAAGAATTAAAACTACTGATTTTAGAAAGTTAACCTCTGTATGAACAAATAAACTTTAAGAAAATAAATGTAAAAAAATTGATGAAATTTTAATTTCCTTTGATATTCCAAATAATTGGACTTAAATAAAAATTAAATTTTATTATTAGAGTCACTAACACCTACTTCCTAAATATAAAAAAGGAAAACTCTTAGACTTTTTGCATATAAGGCATTATACTAACTTGGAGAAACATTAATAATCTGAGGTACAATATTATAGCAATAATTTCACTTTTAGAGACTCCCTTAAGCTGTATAACAACAGCACTATAAAAGACTGATCCAGTGGTAAGGAACACTTGAAGTCATATTGTGAAACTTATCTATATTCCAGCAACAAATATTCCATAGACTAGTTGCACTGTATTGGATATAAACATCAGACTTCAAAAAGTGACCTCTAGCTGTACCTCAAAATAGTTGGCATTTACTTCCCCTTTATCATGTATAATATTAGCAAGCATAACACAACTATTGTTGACTGAAAATAAACTCCTGTATCTTTAGAGAAAATAGAAATTATGGAGTTGTACTTTGAGTAGACTTTACAAACTACATTTTCGGCTTCAAATTAAAAAAAATTTTTTTTAAATATTTATTTATTTTTGAGAGACAGAGAGAGACAGAGCATGAACAGGGGAGGGATAGAGACAGAGGGAGATAAATCTGAATCAGGCTCCAGGCTCTGAGCTGTCAGCACAGAGCCCGAAGTGAGTCTTGAACCCACGAACCACAGGATCATGACCTGAGGCAAAGTTGGAAGCTTAACTGACTGAGCCACCCAGGCACCCCTTGGGCTTCAGATTTTTAAGATTTTTTTCAAAAAGAAAAAACAATCAGGGGGGCACCTGGGTGGCTCAGCCAGTTAAGTGTTTGGCTCTTGATTTTGGCTCAGGTCATCAACTCACTATTGGTGAGTCCCACATCAGGCTCTATGCTGACAGTGTGGAGACTGCTTGGGATTCTCTCTCTCTCCCGTCCTACTCCCCTCACGCACTCTCTGTCTCTCAAAATCAATAAATAAACTTAAAAAAAAAAGAAAAAACAATCAGATATCCAATATTCTAAAAGCAAAAAGATTTCCACATTACATATGGTCTTTACAACACACTATCAATGGAGAAAAGTGAATTTACATATGAATAACTTAAGGGATAACCGCTTTAACTACTTATGAACATGCTATTTCTCTAAAGTACATTTTAATTTTATTTTAGTCAAAATCTTCAAATAAATTGTCTATAAGTTCCTCTTAAAGCCAATTACAAAAATATCACTTAAGGAAATGGCAGCATTCCTATTGTTATACAGTTAAAAATAAGTGGGGGCACTGACACGTAGGATACTTTCAGAACCCAGAAAAATGCACAAAGGCAAGAAGTCTGTTATGGTAATTGTTTATTTTTTCTAAGAATTTCAAAAACTAAAAACTACATAGGCTTGAGTTTGACAACATAAACACTGGAACAATCACAACTATGGGAAATTCAAACACTTCTTAGAAAAATTTACAACTGAACATTTCAAATATGTGGGATATATACAACATTAGGTATAAATTTGAATAATAATCACATTTATAGTGAAAACTATAACAAAAGATACCAGTGAAAGCAAGGCTTGAAACTACTGAAAAAGGCTAACACTTAAATTATTTAGCTAATCTGTTCTTATAATTTAAAGAATAAAGTCTTTTTTAAGTCCCTATCTATTGACTATAGATAAAACAAGAAATGAACTTGACTTTTAAACCTGATAAGTAGGAAGAATGAAAAACAGAACACCTAGTGAAAAAAATTGACATAAAATAGTAGGAATGTTGAAGGAAGACTCAAACTCTAAGACTAAAGAGGAGAATGAGGGGAAAACAGTAAAGTCAAGAAAAAAAAATAGGACTAGGCATTGGGCAAAGAGAAAGGCTAAAGGTATTTGGAGAAATTATACTTAACACATTTTGTGATAGGTAACTCAAAATGAAGTAGAGCTGACAGTTTACTACAATATCTTTAATTAAAATCATTTTCATAAACTGTTTCAAGTTGCACTAAAATCAGTCACAAATTTATGGCCTATGTGAATACTTGCCAAAATAGAATGCATTAAAGACTATTAAACCTATATGTAAACTGTAAAAAGAAGAAATTCATTCCGTTTTTAGGTCTTTAATGAATGCTGTTGACAATAAATGTTGTTCTAAGAAAACTACAATCATCTACTTATTGAGCCTCATTTCTCCTAAAATGTTCTGCTTCTTTTCTGGAACAAAGTGTGTTATTGTTTAAAAGGTTCTGAGCTGTTTTTCAATTATCTAGTGAATCTGCAGCTTAAAGCAAATATTTACCTTATGCCCACAATTAAAGAAAACCCAAACAACAGCTGAAACACAATTCATGCAGTGCCTTACCTAAGAGAAGGAGGTATATTTTGCACTGAAAGATCCCAACCGTGCTGCTGAAGGACTCCATGAAAGCATCCTGTCCCATGCATACAGTGCCCTGTTCCTGGTGGCAACTTGGTTCATGGACCAGCAGCTGGTGGTTTATTTGCTAGGGAAATTAGCAGTGAGGTAACAGACCCTATCCTGTCTCTTGCTTCTGTGATTTGAATACAGAATGAATGTGTATACAAAGGACACAGGGAGTGGGAACACCTGTTATGTGCTCTGCAAGAATACCGGCTTATGACTTTAGAACAGCTTTTTAGCGATTATCAGACTATCAGTAATTGTCAGTGTATTTCATGAATCATTCTTAGTTATTAATAATCACATGAAGGAGAACATCCTTTTGGGTGACTTTACTGAAGAATAGTATGCTTTCATAATGAAAGCATATTGTGAAATTTCCTGAAAAATGTAAGTTGGTTTCCTATCAGGCAAAAACTATACCATAATTTTGAAATTAAAATTCTTTTTCTATGAAAATTGAAGTATTTCATGTATCTGCTAAATCGTTATAAATCATCAAGTCACTAAGTAACATGTAAAAATTATACTAAAGAATCAAAACAGAGCACTGAATATCTTTAAAACTGATTTTTTCTATGTAATATTTTCTATTACAAATGTCTGGCATGGTTTTATTCAATCTATGGATTCATGTTATTTTTAAAAGCAAACCGCAGGTGTGTTTCCAAGTGACAGTGAATCATGGACCATGCATAATTATAATGAAAACAGATAATATCTGAAGCTACATTTTCACAGCTAAAGCATAGAGGAAGTAAACCAATGGCCCAGAGAAGCTCTTATAGTCTCTGCTGTGGTGTCAGGGCTATAGCTTTTCAGCCTGGCCTCTTTATTGCCATGGGAGCAAGCAGCCTTAGCACTTCCTCTTAATTTACTAAGTTATAAGTTAACTCCCATTTAATTTCATTTATTGCAAGAAGGCTCTAGTCCAAGACTTCCACTACATAAAGTATGTAACAAAAGCATGTAACATAAAGCATATAACAAAGTATGTGAGAAAATCTCACCAAATATAGCAAAATTTCCTAGCATAAATCATTTTTAACCATAAAGGCTCACTGAAGGAGTTAAATGATAAGAGGAAAGAGATTCCCAAGCGTAATTAAAGGTTAAAAAAAAAAGGAATGATAGTTATTTTGGAATCCAAGTTTTGAAACACTTTTTGCATTAAGGCTCCCAACACTTCCAGAAATGCTTCTATAGGCAGAGAGAGAGAGAGTAAGTGACTTTTGGAAAACCTGAGGCCTCTCCAGAGGTCATTTTATGATCTCTCCATGATTCGGAAAAACAGCCAGAGCTTCCTCCCAGGTAATTACTATAGCACAGTTTTCTCTGTGGTGCCTCTAAATCTTGGACATACATCTACTGCAGCACTTATCTCACTAATCTCAATTAATTTTATTGCATGTTTATTTTTGCTCTGGGCAACTCGAATACAGAAACCAGTCGAATTTGTTATGGATCCTTAGCACCTACCTGGTGCCTAACTCGTATTTTTGTTAAGTTGTTCCCTGAGAAATAAACGCCAAATGCTCGTTGGCCCATGTCTTCTGATTCTCAGCTGATGTTAAGAAGTGCATATAATTTTAATATTGGTTTGTACAAAATATAATTCAGAAATATCGATATCACATAGATTTCCCTCATGTCTTTTAAATCAATATTAATCTCTAATTGTCTTTTTTAAAATAAGCTCTTTCCAGTGTTTTTCGAACCCAGTGCTGGCACATAAGGAAACTTTTTGGGTCCTAGGCAAAATGAGAGAAATGAAGACAATGTAGTGATTTTTTTTTTAATTGTTTTTTCAACGTTTATTTATTTTTGGGACAGAGAGAGACAGAGCATGAACGGGGGAGGGGCAGAGAGAGAGGGAGACACAGAATCGGAAACAGGCTCCAGGCTCTGAGCCATCAGCCCAGAGCCTGACGCGGGGCTCCAACTCACGGACCGGACCGCGAGATCGTGACCTGGCTGAAGTCGGACGCTTAACCGACTGCGCCACCCAGGCGCCCCTGTGATGTTTTTTCTTAACGTTAGGTTTACTCAATATAAAGGGATGATTTTTATTCTGAGATTTTTTGTTTCTTTTGCATGATATTTTAAAATGTCATTTATTTTATGAAATAGGTGATAACAGACACTATATAAACAAATGCCAAAATGAATCATAGTTGTGATCTTTTCATGTCATGGCACACACGAAAAAACGGCAACACCTGTACCTAACGCCTGGGGAAAGTGCTACGTGGCATATGCAATGCAAGGCGCCCTCTAGTGGCGGGTGGTGGGCATAAACTCTTACGGGTCCCAGTCATTTCTAAATACAGGATGTTTGCACAGGAAGTCGTACAAGGTAATGATAAAATAGAACTTCAACTGTTGTCAATTTTTACATGGTTGCTGAAAATGGTTTCAAGTGCTTTATTATTATATGAGAAATTCCCCACCATCAATATCTCACATTTGACTTGTAACCCACAGAGGGGTTCTGCTGTACTATACTTTTCAGTAGCCTACTTATTGATCTTAGTTATAATTACATTTAAAGTGAAAAGTCTGATTAATCAATCTATATCCATGGTAATTAAACTTCAAGCAATGAGAGGCACTTGGGTGGCTCAGTCAGTTGAGGGTCCAATTCTTAATTTCAGCTCAGGTCATGATCCCAGGGACATGGGATTGAGAACCATGTCAGGCTCTAATCTAAGCATGACTGCTTAAGATTCTCTCTCTCTGACTCTCCCCTGTCTCTAAAGTAAAAAAATAAAATAAAATTTCAAGCAATGAAAGGAGTCACTGTGTTGGGGGGAGATTTTAGGGAAGGGCTTTTTTGCAGCTTTTCACGTCACACTATCATCTAGTTTAAATTGTAAATAAGATTGGTCTTGTTTCATAAGGCAAGCAGTCCGCTACACGCATTTCAAACCCCTGCATTCATTATTTATTAGTAGCATATGAATATTTTGGAATGGTAAGAAGAATTGGAAAAGTGGTAAAATGCCAATGCCAAGGTCAATGTAGAATAGTGGGGACTAAGAACTGGTGAAAGAAAGCACTGTCTTATGTTGTAATTAGATTTCAATTTACAGACTATTGGAAAGAGCTGGCTTCTAGAGGAGGACATCGCAATCGCCTCTGGCTGTGCTGGTGTTCACTCCTGTATAGTTCTGTCTCCCAGAAGCCTAGGTCTCCTCATGTGGCTGCTAAATGACTATGTAGCAGTCTTCCTTCCTGGGCTCTTCTCCAGGTCACTGCTTTACCTTCAGTAAGTGTTTTTGTTTTTGTTTTTGTTTTTGCTACTCCTTGCTCCGAAAGTGTAGTTACTTCATCCTGGAGAGGCCACAACTTTGTGCTGCTTTCATGTTTATAGGATGATTTGAAATGTATCTTCCTAATCAAACCAGCTTTTATTTAAGTTTCCAGAGGCTCCTTTTGTTTGGGCCACCAGAAATATGCCCTTATCCTGCTTTCCTGCTAATGCTGCTGCCTTGTCCAGATCAACTTAAACTCTTTGCTCTGATGTTCCAAAAATGGGGCTGTCACTCCTTTACCAAGGGCCTACCATCCAGGAAGCCTTTCTTAAGACTTATTGGCAGGCCATCGAAACTTTCCACTAGTTTACTCTGGCCCACCACTAATGTCCTTCAGGGAAATATGAAAGTCCTAAATAAGCCTTACATTCATTTTTGAAAAATGGAAATGAGATAACATGCTTCACTTTTTAAAAAGTGTTCTTTAGGGCTCTAGGTTTGTTTGTTTAGTTTAGGGAATTAAAAATGCATCACGTATGGCTCAATTATTTTCTATCATGTTAGGGTATGCTGAATTAGAAAATATAGTTTTTTTTTAATTTTTTTTTCAACGTTTATTTATTTTTGGGACAGAGAGAGACAGAACATGAATGGGGGAGGGGCAGAGACAGGGAGACACAGAATCAGAAACAGGCTCCAGGCTCTGAGCCATCAGCCCAGAGCCTGACGCGGGGCTTGAACTCCCAGACCGCGAGATCGTGACCTGGCTGAAGTCGGACGCTTAACTGACTGCACCACCCAGGCGCCCCTAGAAAATATAGTTTATTTAGACAATAGCACTGATTTACTTTACATGTTTTCAACATTATAGTTACAGCCTTTAAACTTTTAGAAGACTGGATTGTTCATTTCTTTTTAGTTTATAAGAAATAAACTAAAACTTAAGAGTATTTGAGTAAAACAAAGTTTTAATGCTTTCTTGACTTTTCAGGGTCATGGAAATACAGAAAACTCTCATTTCCCCGCTTTGGCTGATAGAAAAAGACAAATACATGGAATAAAAAAGTTTTTTGTTTTGTCACTTGTAACTTTGTGTATTGGCTATATAAAGGGAAAATTCTGGGTTTGGATATGGGCTCTAGTTCTGACTCAAGCTCTAATTTTATTTATTTTTATTTTTTTTTTCAATGTTTATTTATTTTTGGGACAGAGAGAGACAGAGCATGAACGGGGGAGGGGCAGAGAGAGAGGGAGACACAGAATCGGAAACAGGCTCCAGGCTCTGAGCCATCAGCCCAGAGCCCGACGCGGGGCTCGAGCTCACGGACCGCGAGATCGTGACCTGGCTGAAGTCGGACGCTTAACCGACTGCGCCACCCAGGCGCCCCTCAAGCTCTAATTTTAAAATGTGTGACCTTGAAACCTGAGATGGAAAAATTTTCTCATTTCTAAAGAATGGATATGAAATTCTAGAGCTGGCTGCCTATAAGAATCACTGAGGATCTTAAACAAAGAACCTAAAAGAAAACATTAGCAATGGCAGACTCCGCCAGTGAATTTGAATGGCCAGGTTTGAGAACTACTGGTCTTGGATCAGCTATAATATATGCTTTTCAACTAGACTGTAAACTCTTTGAGGACTGAGACTGTATATTACTAATCTAAAGTGCTTAGTGTAGTGTTGCCTAGTGCCTAACAATCAAAAATTGAATTGGGTTTCATTTTACATGCCAATATAGTCAGCAGTTTCTGTTTCTTTTGGTGCTTTCAGAGACTTTTAAATATTGAAGATTTTCATACAGTAAGAACTGGCTGGCAATAAAGACCAGAGCAGGTAAAGAATAAACTAAACTAGGGTTGCCCAAAAGTACCTGGAATTTTTTATGGGGTACAAATAACAGAGAGGCATATAGGTAAACATAATTTCAAAAAGAACTGTTAAGCACGACAGAAGTATGCACAGGGTGGTTCTTTTGGAGCAGAGAACTGGGAAGAATTGTGACTAGAATACTTCATAATTGTAAGGTGTTTTACAATGTATAAATTGCATTCACCTACATCATCTCACTTATGCTTACAAAA